GTGTTGTTGTGTATAGTGTTCAGCTCCAGTCAAACGAAGCTCATCGAGGCTTGAAGGAAATTTGGAGCCGACTTCCATATTTGGAAATGAGCATCATAGCAATTAAAGAGCCAATCAGGAGCGAGGGTGTTGAAGTTAGGCACCTGATTTGTCTGCTATTAATGTTCATTTCTTCATTTACGAACAAAATATGAAAATAAAATCACCAGGATCATGTAGAGTGGGTTAATATGAACATTTTAAGACCAATTTATGTTATTAGGTTTTTGTTTTTAGGTATGAAAACAAACTATTGGTCTGAAAACAAGAACCTAATAGCATAAATTGGTCTTAAAATGTTTGTATTAACCCGCTCTATATGATCCTGGTGATTTTATTTTGTTATTTATACATTTCAGGTGCCTAACTTCAACACGCTCGCTCCTGATTGGCTCTTTAATTGCTATGATACTCGTGATCGGAATTCCAAATATGGAAGTCGGCTCCAAATTCAAAAGCACATGACCTCTCTGAGGAAGATCGCTAGTAGCGAGCAGTCGAAACTGTCAGGTATGAAAACAAACTCATGGTCTGAAAAAAAGAACCTAATAACATAAATTATCGGAAGACTAAATGAGCCTCATTGGACTGTTTTAAGACCAAAGTGACAAGCCTGACAGCAGCGGTTACAGAGAGAGAGGTAGGGCTGGGTATCATTAAGGAGTTGCCAATACGATACATACCGCGATACACAGGTCACGATACGATACAGATCTCGAAACAGTGCACTTTCGATTCGATATGATATATTTCAAATCGATTCGATACAGTGCAATAAAAAATAAAGGCTAAATCGTGGCTGTGACACTAAAAGGCTTTGTTAAATCACTTCTTGTGCAAAGTGAACATGAAACACAAACATTTTAATCCTCAAAACAGTAAAAATGTCAAATGTGTCGCATAAATGAGTTTCCTTTCACTCCACAAGCAACAAAACTGTAGCTCTGTAACAAAATAATTTAGTAAAACACACCTAAAAATACTCTTGGTGAAATATCGATACAGTAGCCCATGATATCGATACTGTATCATCGCATTAAATGATACGATATATCGATATTCTGATATTTTTGCACACCCCTAGAGAGAGGCGATGATTTTTCAATAGAAAGTGAACTGGAACTAGAGTTGATGGTGTCGGAAGTTCGTCCACGCTCACTTGGTGGAACGCGGTGACGGACAGGTCGGCTATGTCCATTTATATAAACAGCCTAAGGCGACAACACAATCCTGAGCTCAAAAGAGTAACACTCAAACTGATATTGATGCAGTATTAACTAGGGATGGGCATGATTAATAGATTAATCGATAACTGATCATTAAGAATTTCATCGATTACATTAATTTTAATTGACAAACCGAATGTAGGTTTCTGTGTGTATCGTGACCAAACAGGTGTGTACATGTGTCTCTGCATCAGAAGGAGCGAGACACAAACAGTGGGTCAGTCTGCAACGAACCGAAGCACAAATGTGTATTTAACGATGATTTGTACAAGAAATTCCACACTTTCCGTTGCGTTCGGGACAAGTGTGAGTCCATGTGCACAGTGAACAAAGCAGCACATATGTTTCTGTGTCCAGTGGGAAAAAGTTTTTCCAGGTGAGAGTCGCTCAATGTCGATGACGAGTCCCCACCTCCCTCCCCCCGTACGCTGTCCTGGTTTTGACAAACGCAAATATGGTCACACTAACCTGTATTCACCTGAGTCATGTCTTTTAATCCAACAGAAATTGAACCACATCAGCGACACAAGAGCTGTAGTTTTATCTTCGCTTAGTTTATGCAAATTAGTGATGTGGTTTTAAGTTTTGTTTCTGTGAGAGTTGCGCAAAACTGAATTAAACACATTATAATGTCAAACGGGCTGATGTGGCTCTAGAGTCGTTACGGTTTATATGTCGTAAAGTTGAATTTATTTATGCAGATTAGTAGTGCAGATAGTAATAATAATGATGATCTTGTTAATATAAAAACGTTAATGATTAATCGATAATCGATCGTTAATTCTTCCGACGATCGATTAAGAAAATTTCATCGAGTGCCCGTCCCTAGTATTAACCATAAAACACCAGAATATTATGGTTAGTGTATTTGCACAATGATTTCACATACACTGGTATATTTACAGCACACACAGCAAAAAGTGTTATTAAGAGTTATATTAACGTTTTGAGAATAAACGGATAACACTTTGTTGGGTTATCCTGATTTATTTATTTTTTACACTTTATTTTAGTTAATTTACGATGAAATTATGTACAAAACTGGTTCAAACTGGTCTTCTCTCCTGGGAAGTTTGACGCGGTGGGTGGGAGGAACCAAATTAATCAACTCTGGCAAATAACCCCAACTCGAAACCCCATTTAACTTTCAAATAGAACACTTTTTTGCATTAAAAACAACTCTGAAATAGTTCACACTGAATTTTTTGCTGTGTACTATGTTCCAACTCTTCAATTTCCTGCTGCCGTGGTAGTTACAGATTCTCTTGCACACTCAGTTAGATGTTCTATCCCTGCTACTTTCACGGCATTGTGGTTTATTTTGTATAAATGATAAACTTTTGTGCCTTCGTTAACATTATTATCAGTTTGTACGACCGTAAACGACAAAAAAACCAAAAACAAAACCCTGACATCTTTAAAAAAAAATGAAGATAAGAACTAAGAAAATAAGTGATCGTATTTCTGTCTGAGGAGTTTGAAAGACACAGAACTCTGGAATGAATTAATTATGCTTTAAATTTTGTTTGTTTTCATTTATATTTTGTCTCTTAAATATACCGTAAGTCGTAAGTGAAATTGTAAATGCAAACTTGCTGTTCAGACGCTGCTTTTCTTTCTTGGTATCCTGTCATTGTTTAATAGAATTTGGCGTTAGAAGTACTTTTGACTTCAGCCTAAACACTCTCGGTCATGATCCATGGAGTTGTCGTCTATGTTTTGTTTTGTTTTGTTTTATAGTGCTGTAAAATGACCGAATTAACTACTTCTACTACTACTTCACCCTTTTAAACAAGGCAGAGTGACTGAGGAGTGAATGAATAATGGCAAAACTGCACTCACAAGACCACACCTGCAGGAAGTTCATGCAAAAACTATTATTTTTGCCAAAAAAAGTACAAGAAACAATATAAAGACAGAATTACTAGTTGCCAAATTAGATTAGATGCCAAATTTTCAGCTAACTCACCAGCGTCTGCCGCTCCAAAAAATAAAACAACTTAAAATCTAAATAAAATTATTATTGGACTACTACAAATTAAGGCTGGGTATCATTATGAAGTTGTTTATACGATACATACCTCGATACAGTGAGCTTTTGATTCAATATGATATATTTCAAATCGATTCAATACAGTTCGATAAAAATAAAGACTAAATCATGTCTGTGATACTAAAAGTCTTTGTTAAACCACTTTTTGTGCAAAGTTCATATGAAACACAAACATTTGAATCATCAAAACTGTGAAAATGTCAAATGTGTCGCATAAAAAAGTTTCCTTCCTCTAAACAAGCAACAAAACTGTAGCGCTGTAACAAAATAATTTAGTAAAACATACCAAAAAATACTCTTGGTGATATATCGATACAGCAGCCCACGGTATCGATACTGTATCATCACATTAAGCGATACGATATATCGATATTTCAATATTTTTGCACACCCCTACTGAGGAGTGAATGAATAATGGCAAAACTGCACTCACAAGACCACACCTGCAGGAAGTTCATGCAAAAACTATTATTTATGCAGAAAAAAGTACAAGAAACAATGTAAAGACTATGGAGTAAGAAAGCTGTCAAAAATATTCGTGCGCATAGAATAGAAATCCGTGCGTATTTGTCTGTAGTTGCGCATAAAATAAATATTTGTAAACTTTCAAATGAGTCCAGTCGTACATAAAATATATTGTGTGTATTTTATCCATCAGAATACGAATTGAAAAATTACGACGTCATGAATTACAATCACGAAATGAAAATTTACGATTACGCTTTCATCAGTACGAATACGAATTCACAGACGGAACTTTACTGTCAAAAATACGTCATCACTTCACAGACATTATCCATCGAGCAGAAGAAACATCGATCAAGATCAAGACTGTGCAGCTCAAGTTTGTAGCAGAGGGTAAAAACAGAGTAATAGCACAAGAAGCTACAACAGCGACCAACAAGTGGATTCATTAAAATCTATTGTAAAAATGTCTTGAATTCGGGAACCGAACGCTGCTGTATAATATTGTGTAGAAACACCTCCTTTGAACGGGAAATTGCACCTATATGTTAGAAAACATAGTGGAGCCAGTTGGCAACATCCGACGTAACGTTATCCCAGGGCTAATTAACAAATATCAGGTTCTCTGTATGTTTAGATTAAAACATTCACGGCTACAGCCACTCTGTTTTTACCCTCTGCTACAAACTTGAGCTGCACAGTCTTGATCTTGATCGATGTTTCTTCTGCTCGATGAATAATGTCTGTGAAGTGATGACGTATTTTTGACAGTAAAATTCCGTCTGTGAATTCGTATTCGTACTGATGAAAGCGTAATCGTAAATTTTCATTTCGTGATTGTAATTCATGACGTCGTAATTTTTCAATTCGTATTTTGATGGATAAAATACACACAATATATTTTATGTACGACTGGACTCATTTGAGAGTTTACAAATATTTATTTTATGCGCAACTACAGCCAAATACGCACGGATTTCTATTTTACGCGCACGAATATTTTTGACAGCTTTCTTACTCCATAAAAGACAGAATTACTAGTTGCCAAATTAGATTAGATGCCAAATTTTCAGCAAACTCACCAACTTCTGCTGTTCCAAAAAATAAAAAAAAACTTAAAATCTAAATAAAATTATTATTGGACTACTACACATTTTGGTCAACTGAGACTCCTTCAACACTGGTTTCTTACGTGCTCATGTTGTGTTTCCTGACAGACGTACTCGGGCCTGTTCTGTGTGGTCATCAACCCGTACAAGAACCTGCCCATCTACTCCGAGAACATCATCGAGATGTACAGAGGCAAGAAACGCCACGAGATTCCTCCGCACATCTACGCCATCTCTGAGTCCGCCTACCGCTGCATGCTGCAAG